CTATGAAGATTACACACACACACACACACACACACACACACACATATGAAGAAGGACCCATGTTGACATGTTGACTGAAAGGGGAGCTTGAGAAACAGCCCGGAGGAAAAATGTTTGGGTTTGGAACCTCAATATCTGGCCGAGCGCCTCCTTCCAGTTAACTCTGCCCACCCTGCAGGCAGGGTGGCTGAGAGTTCTGACCCCGAGAGAGGCCTGGAAACAACCACTAGAAATCAGGCCTTCTCGGCGGTAGTGCGACCGACCGACCGTGTGAAGGGGTTTCCAGTATAGACCCTGCAACAAAGGATCAGAAAATGGAAAATTCAAGGGACTTACGGGAATGAGGTTGGCCTGGCCATGATAAATAGGCAAAGCAAGCAGGAAAGAAAGCTGTCGACAAGATAAGGGAATTCATCCATTGAGGCTTGAGAACAGAATGACTTCTGTTTCAGATAAGACCTGGGTCAGGTCAAAAGAATGTTGAGAACAGGAACTGAAAGAAACTTAAAATATTCCGAGAGCTCGTTTACTAAAGGATATAAAAGACAGAGTTTTTTATTCCACGACCTGCGTGCATCGGACAGCGCTGCAATCTCCACCTCCACGCTTTGTGTCTACGCTTGATCACTGTTATTTATTTACTTATTTAACTTATATGCCACCCACTCTACCCAAAGGTCTCTGGGCGGCTTACAACAATTAAAATACGATTAAAAATACAATAAAAAGATAAGACGATTAAAATGCACTTAAAATAGAGACTCTAAAAATTGCCGTCAGGACCCACAGTTGATATTATTTCAATTAAAAGCCTTCTGGAACAGGAAGGTTTGACCTGGCGCCTGCCAGACGAATCTCCCTCGGGAGGGCATTCCGAATTATAATCAAGGTTACAGACATAGTGTTTTAACTCTAGATCTGGTGTTCAGCCTCTTCTTATGAAGAACTTCCTAGGTGTCTCCTCGTTACCGGATTAGAACAATATCCCAAGTTGGTAACAGTAGAGCCAGAATGATGGGACTCTCTACCCCCCCCCATTGACCCCGAAGTCCGCCCTCCCCTTCACCGGGCACCTTCAAAAAGCTGCTCCAAGCCTGCCTATTGAGGCAGGCCTTCCCTGAACAAACCACACTCTGATACAGTAGTGCCCGATAATATAACTTCTGTCCTACTGCCATGCTCCATGTTTTTATATTTTTCTACACTTTTAATTGTATTTGTTGTATTGTAATTTTATCCTCATTGCACTTTATGACTTTTGATTTTTTTTGCCTCTATGTATGGGTGCCGTTATTTGCTTTTTTTCTACTTTGTTGTTTGACGTTCTTTGTTGTAAACCACCCAGAGTGGCCTTGGCGACCAGATTGGGGGGGGGGGTATACAAATCAAATAGACAAACAAACAAATAAAGTCACAAAGGTTCCTCGGAGGGCAGGAAACGGAGGTGCTTTCTCTCGCTGCTGGTCCCACAAGGAAGCAGGCAGAAGCAGCGGCAAACCACCCTCTGTTTGGGGAGTCCCATCCGAGGTGGGGGAGCCTAGACCCTCATCCTAGCCAGAGAGGGAGGTGTGTGTGCATGCGTGCATGTCTTTGGAGGGCCCGGGGCGGTGGTGGTGGAGGAGGAGAGGAGGCGCGCACACACAGACAGGCTCCAGCAATAGGCGCAGGAGGAAGTAGGGGTCAGAGCGTGAGAAGGAAGGAGAGCCATGCCCCTCCCCCCCAGATCCCCCCTTGTGGTCACTGAGCTGGAGAGGTGCTAAGAGGCCATGTTCGGAGGACGCCTGGCTGGCCATAAGCCCAGGACGGAGGATGGGCTAGGCCTGGGGGTGTGTGTTTCGTACCTCCCTTGCAGATCAGAGATGCCCTACACGCCACGATGGGGAGGTCTAATCTCCAGGCTTAAAAGGAAGGGGCCTCCAAATGCCAGATGCCAGGGAGGGGGACCAGGAGACGCATCTGCTGGGGCCACGATGAGAGACGGGAAGCTGGACTAGAGGGGCCCTTGGCCTGATCCATCAGGGCTCCTCTTCTTAGGTTCTTAGGCTTTATTTGGTTCTTGGCGAAAGGCTGTCACAACAGGTCTTGGTTTCTCCCAGGATGTGGTCCGGGAACCTGGTCCTCCTTCTCCTCCTCCTCACATTTGCAACTGGCAGAGGTGTAACAACCTGTAATGGCACAAGGGAGCACCAGTGCCCGAAGGCCCACCAGGATGTCTACACGAAAACCAGGGATGTCCAAGAGGTCCCAAAATCAGCAGGTCCCCAAATCACCGAGATGTTCTTTGTGGAAACCAGCCTTGTTGAAATCAAAGAGGGGGCCTTCCGGAACATGCCGAACCTGGTGAAACTTGAGTTCATCAACAGCAAGATTAAAAAGGTGGAAGTGGGTGCCTTTGATAACTTAGAGAAACTGGAGGAGCTGGAACTGTCCGGAGCAGAGCTGGGCAGACTGGCGGTAGGAACCTTCCGGGCCCTGCCTCGTCTACGGAAAATGAACCTGCGGAACTCTCAGCTCACTGCCCTTGAAAAGGGACTTTTTGATGACCTTGGGAGCCTGGAGGAGGTCTACCTGCATCTCAACAGGATCCCGTCTCTTCCGGAAGGTGTCTTTGATGGACTCCCCAAACTACGCCTCCTACACTTGGCCGGGAACAAGATTTCAAGCCTCCCGAAGGACGTCTTCCGGCCGCTCACTCAGCTGCAGACCCTTCGGGTGTACGAGAACGAGATCACTAGCCTCCCCGAGGGGAGCTTGGATAGCCTGCAAAGCCTGACGGAGCTCAACCTTGCGAAGAACAGGATCCGGACGCTTCCACCCGGCTTGCTGAGGAATCTGACCAACCTGGAGAAACTTATCCTGGAGAGCAACCAGGTCGACGTTCTCCCAGAAGGGTCCTTCGTTGGGCTGAGAAAACTGAAGGAGCTGAAACTGGCTTCCAACCAGCTGGTGGGGCTCCCTGGTCCGCTCTTGGGTGAGCTGCCCCTTCTCGCCCTTCTGGACCTGAGCAGGAACAGGCTCTCCTCCCTGGAGGCCTTGGGGTCTTCCTCCCTCCCACAGCTCCGGACCCTGAAGCTCAACAGGAACCAGTTAGAGAGCCTTCCCGCGGGTCTCTTGGACCGCTTCGCGACCCTCCGCGCCGTGTATCTTGGTGAGAATCCATGGAGGTGCGACTGCCATCTTCTCTCGCTCCACCAGTGGATGAGAAGGAGCTCCAAAGCAGTGAAAGATGCCGCCAAAGTAACGTGTGGAAGCCCCGACCCTCTCTCTGGGAAGGCGGTGGGATCCCTGGCGGAAGCCCAGCTCATCTGCCTCACTACCCCACCCATTCCGACCACAGTCACCCCGTCACCTCCTGTTGCTGCACGGAAAGACACCACGCTTTCCCCAGCCACTCGGAGGTCCACCACGACCGATATTCTCCCAGTCACCACCCGTGAGCCAACCACTACGAAGACTCCAGACACAATCTTCAACATCGCCGCCGCCACCGCCACCACCACCATCAGAGCAGAGGCTGCCACTCCATCCACGGCCCCCGGCCTCACAACTGCTCCACCAATTCAATCCACGGCGCCTGAATCTACCCGTCCTGGGATCCCCACTGTCACGCTAGAGCTTACCACGGAGATGTCTCTTGCTGCTACGGCCAGTGCCAGCCACACCACAGCCCTCCCAGTCTTCACCACTACCCAGGCGCCCGCAGCAGCTCCCGGTGCAGCCACCACCTGTGGCCCTGAAGCATCTGCCTCGCCTCACACAACCGCCAAACTCACCACCACCCCCGAGAGTCCCACCAAAACTTTAGAGATCATGACGACCACGAGAGAGAGGTCCCCAGATCCGGCCACAAGCATGGAGACACCAAACACAACACCTCAGATCAGGACCGCTCAGGATCCTACTCCAACCCCAACAAACCCTGAAACCACGACTGAGACGTCAAGCACAACCTCTGCGTCTGGTGCCACCGCCGCCACAACCCCCAAAGCTGTGTGGACTGCTCCTACCGCTCCATCCACGGCCCCCGGCCTCACAACTGCTCCACCATTTCAATCCATGGCCCCTGAACCTACCCGTCCTGGGATCCCCCCTGTCGCGCCAGAGCTTGCCACGGAGATGTCTCTTGCTGCTATGGCCGTTGCCAGCATCACCACAGCCCTCCCAGTCTTCACCACTACTGTGGCACCCGCAGCAGCTCCCGGTGCAGCCACAACCTGTGGCTCTGAAACATTTGCCTCGCCTCACACAACCGCCACGGTAACTTGTGGGGCGCCCCCAAGAGCCCCCTCAGCCAAGGCAACCGTGGGCACCGTGATGCGCTCCCACAACGCCAGTTCTCCCAGCAGGTGCCCCACGGGGCCCTTCTCGGCAGAGGCAACCCCCAGCCAAGGGGCTCCCCCACCCTCCAGGACTCCTTCCGCCGCCTCCTCCCCAGGTGGGGCCAACATGATGCCCAGCTCAGCCGCTCTCAGCCCAGCAAAAGCACCACCCAAAACCTCTGGCACTGAGCGCCCGACCAGCGCCACTCTGCCCCGGCCTCAGCCCTCAGCCTGGGTCCTCGCCCTGAGCACCAACTCCCGACACTGCAAGGTGTCCCTTGTGATGTACTTGTCCATGCTGTGCGTTGAGCTCTGCTGCACAGCCGCCTTGGCAAGGTGTGTGTACCTGCTGCGCAAAGCCACGCAGCCAAGAAACATCCCACCTGGGCCCGTAAGGCTGGTGGACGTCAAGCATCGGAAGGAGAAACTCTAGCGGGGTCCGGAGGCTGGGAGGGAAAAGTCTGTGTCCCTCCTCGGCTAAAGGCCTCCCGGCAATGGCAGCTGGGACTCAGCCCTCCCTCTGGGTGTTTCTCTGCCGTCCCTCTCCTTGGGGATGCCCCCCCAGCACCCTGGAAGAAGAGGGCGAGAGAACCAAGAGAAGGAGGCACCGACGGCCACTGTGTTTAGACACACGGTGTTTACAGCCAATGCTTTCAAAGCATGCCTATTTTCGACTTTGTGGAATCCTGAACTCTCAGCCAGAGCAGCAAAGGCACACCTTCCCCTTTTGCCTCCTGGGCGTTCAGAAGGCTTGGCTTCACTGGAGCAGAGAGTCCAGTCTGTCATGGGGGAGTTTAACTTTCAAGACACTTCCCTCCCCCCCCTCCGTTTTCTTTGAAGGTGGTGGGGAGGGAAGGGAGTGTCCGGTGACTCCAGTGGGGTTGCTCAGTCTCCCCTTTGGCTTAAAAGATGCTCTTACCTTTTGTTGTAAATTCATTTGACAGCTATTTCTTCCTGGGCCATTGTTTTTGCGGGATTAAATGCAGGGCTTGTCACGATGATGCACCTGATCCGGCCCTTTTTCTGTCACCTGGGGCTGCTGAAGCACAGATCTGACCCTCATTTCTATCCGTAGAACCCCACGTCTCTTTTTTAAAGGGCTTCCTTCTTTGTTGGCTTCCCAGATTTCTTTCTTTGATTTACTTGGTCAGTATTACAATGAAAGCCTTCAGTGAAAGCCCCTGGCAGTCGGCATCTCTTTCTGCTACCATCCACTTTGGAATCCACTCCCTTTTTAAATCTCTATGTAAAAAAAGCTGAAGAAAGCCTTTACAGATGTTATGATCTGCTCGTTTTTTGCTTCCCCCTACTTTGCAGGGTGATAACAGCGAAGCCTGCCCAGATCCCACCAGAGCCCTAGAGAAGAGGCCCATTCCCCTTTGACAATCAGCCGAGAACAACTTCTTTTTAAACCACTTGGGAGAAACCCTTTGAAGATTCGCTTCTCTGGCATCTAGTGTGGTTTGCTCTGTTAGTAGATCATTGCTAAATCGGGAGCTTCCCAGCCAAGGGTATCCTGCTGGCTTGCACTCTGCCAGGGTGGGAAGTGAAAGGAGGGAACAAACAGCTCCTGGAGGGGATAGTTTTGAAAAGCCCAGAAAAGAGGGCCAAGGTTTCCCTTCGCTGTTTGTCACAAGCAGTCCCAGCTCAAGTCTTGTGTCATTTGGAGGGTGGGAAAACACCCACTCTAGACACACAGGAAAGTTTTAAGGATCAGATCATACTTTTGCACTATGAAAGAGCAAGCCGGGTAGGTGGGGCTCGTCAGCCATGGAAGGCAGCCCATCTCGGAGAAGGAAACCTCCGATTTCAAACCTCCACTGCCTTGTGGCTATATCCACTTATGGAAAGGGCTTCAGGAGTTAACCTCGAGGCAAAAACCGGAGCCGGAGTCCCGAAGGCAGCTCGTGTCGTTCTGCCAACTCCTGCGACGTTGCTGGAACCAGTCGTATTGGCTCTTGCCTTTCCATTGGACCATTTCAGCAACGTGGAGAGGGGGGATTTGCTGCTTGGGTAACATCCTATCCTCCATATTACCTTACCCGGGCTTCATGCTCTGGAGAGGACACTCCTCGATTCAGAGCATGTTACCATAGTCTCTCGAGACTGAAGGATGCCTATGATGAGACACACTGATCGTGGAATAGCCTCCTTTGCTAAGCTTTGAACATTATTATTCATGTTATTTTGAATGCAATATATTGCTCTAAAAAAAGTTTTATTGCGTTCATGACTTATTTCCATTTTGTTTATTATTTCAATAAACTGTGCATTGGATTGCTGTTTCTTCTTTTTCCTTTTTTCCTGCTGAGCCTCTGTTTGGTCTGGCCCGGTCTGTCCGGTCCGGTCCTGGGCCTCCCTTGCAGCAACCCATGGCTGAGGGTCGGGCCACAGCAGCAAAACATCTCTCTTCACTCCCTGTTCAGATTGCCAGCTCACCTGAACTGGCCAGGGTCTGTGCCTCTGAACGCCTCAGGGGATACAGAACAGGAGAGAGTCAGTCCAGGTGTCGGTGGGTCAGGCGGCTTGCTGACTGCCAGAGAGCCACATGCAGAGGCGAACTCTCTCTAGGTCCCCTTATTGGGAGAAAGGCGGCATATAAACAAAACAAACAAACAAATATTGATGATGGTGTCCTCTTACCTGCATTGAGAGGTCCAGCAGAAACCACGGGGGACACACTTCCCCTGTCCAGCTTCCAGTGTAGGACATCCATCAAGGTGACCAAAGCAGCCTCGGTTAAAAAGCACAGGAGGAAGAGAGAGGCAAAGGGGAGCCCCCTCCTTGCCCAAGAAAGGACAGGGCTGTCTCGGTGGCCATCGCCTTCTCTTGGGCGCTTGGCAGTCTGCGCACGTCCCGGTGGGGTGCAGTGGACAGGGTGAGGAACGAGGACGTCGGAGACCAGGGTTTGAATCCTCAGTTGGGCACGGAAACTCCGTGGGGGAGCGGGCTGGGTAAAACCCCTCCTTGACTGTTTCAGGTACCTGGAAAGCCCTGTTAGGGTGGCTGTAAGTTGGTTCTGACTTGAAGGTAACACTGGCAAAGTGGGAGTGGAGGGGGGCAAGCAGGAGATTGGGGAGGGGGGGAGGCAGGAAGGTCTCCAAATGGTGGTGGTGGGGGAGCAGATTGTCTTTCCAGGGTGTTTGCTACGGTCTGCCTTGGGCAGGAGTGCCTCTGTTTCAGAAATATAGGCCACTGAGGGGTGTGTGTGTGTGTCTGAATTGCTGCAAGCGAGCCGCCCCCACCTCCCAAAATGGCCTTCCTGTGGGAGAGCAACCCAGACGACCCCCTCAACGCCACCCCATCTAGCCTCCCCATCTAGGATGGAGAATCTCAGGGAGGAAATTGCGTCCTTGGACTTAGGTGAGGGAGGAGAAGAAGATGGGTGGGTGGAACTGCCACCATTTCGACCCTGATCCTGTTCAACTCCTCCTTCATCTAAATCGAACCCAACCTTTAGAGAACAACTAGTGTTGTAAATCAGTTGTTGAAATTCCTCGCAGCCTGATAGCCATTGTCAGTTTGTCCATTATCTGTACCTCCACAGGGTCATGGGGCCGAGTATAAATAGGTTAATCCTATAATCTTGGATGAGATGGTTGGACAGGGTCATCGAAGCCACCAACATGAATCTGACCCGACTCCGGGAGGCCGTGGAAGACAGGAGGGGCTGGGCGCGCTCTGGTCCATAAAGGGGTCACGAAGAGTCGGACACGACTAAACGACTCAACAACAACAATAATCTTACTCCTGTGTCTGAGGAAGCGGGCTTGAGGCAGGAATCATAGAATAGTGAAGGGTTGGAAGGGGCCCATGAGGCCATCAAGTCTGGCCCTCTGCTCGAGGCAGGAATCCAAAACCAAGGGAAGCTCTCGGGTGGTTCTCCTAATGGCGTCTTGAAGGCCTCCAGCGTTGGAGGCCTTCATACCCTAAATGGCCCTTTGCAATTGCAAGTGACCCCCCTTTCCCCCTTTGGTTCTCCTTGCAGGTGACCTGTAAGTGGCCCTGCCAGACAGAGGTGGCACTGGGCTAATCTGCCTTGGTTGTTGCATTGCATTGTTCAACACAGTGGGCCTTGGGTGTTTGGCTTTGGAATTTCCCAGGGACTCAAGGGACGGGAACCATCGGCCTTTCTTGCCTCCTTCCCACAGGGCTTATCTCTTAAAACAGGGATAACGGCCTGCTTCTTTGATCCCGGATCTTTTAAGCAGCTAGCAAAGAGCACAGCAGTTTTAGGGCCAAACTTTTTGCTCTGGTTGCAGAGGATCACACCTCGTGTCCTCTGCCCCCCCCCAAAAGGTGTCAAATCCACCACAATGCTTTCCTTGCACGGACGCAGGTTTGCCTCAGAGTGGAGTGGAGGTGAGGGGCTGGGAGCTGGGATGCCAGCTGGCCAACGACCCATACGCTTAGTGCTCAGCTGGGAGAGCAAAAAAGAATCTCTCAGGTCGGCACCAGACGTACTACTGGAAAATCTTTTTTCTAAAGAACCTGCTTCAAAAAGAAATAGAGAGAAAAAGAAGAAGTATGAGTTTTTCTCTCAGCACTGTAGCTTGGCGTGACTTTGAGGCCAAGGCGGGAAGAGCATGGGTTGAGAGGGATGGCAAACGTCATGGAAAAGGGAATGATCAGGGCAGAGAACAGAGTGGAGCAATAGGAGTGCGTGCGTGCATGCGTGCGTGCGTGCGTGCGTGCGTGCGTGCGTGTGGGTTTGGGGTTTGGGTTTGGAGGCAGCAGGAAAAAATAATCTGGTGGCTTCCCTCCTCTCCATGGACAGGGACCCCCGCAGTGCCCTGGAAGAAAAGAAAGGTGGGCCCGTGGATGCAGAGAGAGAACGACACTGCTAGGAGAGGCCACGGAGAGGCAGCAGAGGGTCAGGCTGCGGTCCTTGGCGCTCCCTCCCTGTTCCCTGCTAAAAAGGCTGAGGACAGGCGACCCCTGAGAATCGGGCAAGGCTGAGGCCAGACCTCTGGTGGCACCTGAGGGCAAGAAGGGGGGCCCTCTTCCTACAGTCACTGCACTAATCCTGGCCCAGATGCACCATCTGTACGGGAAGAACCTGTTCAGGCACCTGGGTTACCTGGCTAAGGGCATTTGGGAGGGGCAGCTAAAGGTCTGACACCTTGGCTGTTTGTTGGACCTTCTGGGTGCGGAGTGAAGTGGAGGCAACCTCGCCCTGTCCCCTTACAAATGATTCAGTGGACGGGAAGTAACCCCCCTGCGAAGGTGATGGTGACATGAACCGTGTGGGAGAGAGAACCGGTCAAGGCTTCCTGAATAGATGTTTCCTGGCTAAGTTGAAGATGGCCTCCAAGATTCCTTTGGAATGATGAAGGGCACTGAAGTCCTCATCCCCACCTATGAGGCGCAGTTCTTCACAGGAGCCCTCAGAAGTGGCGTCCCATGGGGGCACCCCGGGACTCCTGTGACGATTGCCCAAGGCTGCTCGGGCTGGCTCTACGTTGCAGGATGCACCGTGCAGAACCGAACTCTGAGCTTCTGGCTCTGCAGCCAGATACCTAAGCTACTGAGCTGGAGGCTTTCTTTCTTTCTTTCTTTCTTTCTTTCTTTCTTTCTTTCTTTCTTTCTTTCTTTTCCTTTCCTTTCCTTTCCTTTCCTTTCCTTTTCTTTCTTCTTCAAACTATGATGCTAGGAAGTATTTGTGTAACTAATATATCATTTTATAAAAAGAAATAAATGAAGATTCATAGGAAAATCTCCCCAGGGTAAGAATACTGAACAGCTGGCTGCAGGAGATCAACCTCTCCTTGCTCGTAGGATCTGCTGGGGACCATGTTCTTCAAAGTCACCCTCGTAAACTCTCTTTGTGGTTCAGAATTAGCAGGAGCACTTCCTGGGACCTCCTGCCAGTTCTTTGCTGGGCCTGGGGTAGCGGGTGGTGGTGGTGGTGAGGTGGGTGGCCCCACTGGCCCTGTGCCCCCAAATATTTTGCTTGTCTCCCTGGAGAGGCTCAGGGCCAGCCGCCCAGTCCGCTCCTCCTCCTGTTCCTCCAGCGGGTCATCGCCCTGGGCCTTAATCAAGCCATCCTGTCCTCCTCCTCCTCCTCCTCTCCTCAGCCAGGCAGCGTCTGGCGGCTGCTCCTGCCAAGAGGGAAAATGGGACGACAAATTCCAAGCAGCGGGATGCGGCCGCTCTCCTGCTTGGTGGGATGAAAAGTACCGGTCACGGTGGCGTGGCCTTGGCACTCTCTCATGCTGGGAAAGCTCTTGCCCAAGGAGCTCCATGCTGGTTTCTGAGCCTGCCGGGAGAATGGGATGCTCCGCCGTTCCGCCCTTGAATGGAGGAGGCTGTCCCAGAGCATGCAGCCAACCCGGAGGCCTGGCTTCTGGAAGAGGCCCCTCCGCTGTCCACAGCCATGTTGTAGGGCCTACTTGGAGGAGGGCAGGGCTGCAAGTGTGAAGCTCTCTCTGTGTGGGTGCAGGTGGGGGCTGCTCTCTGTGGCATGCCATGCCCGGAGCCGGCTTGCTTGGTCCATGCAGTGAAACCGTTCCATGACACAGAGGAGAGGTGCTCTGAGGAGAAGCGCCTGCCAGAGAGCCCGGCCTCAGCTCCCTGCACTTCTCTGGGCCGGCCTGGCATGTGTGGTGTAATAGCTGCTCACGACAGATTGTGGCAAGACCAGACCCCCCTTCTTCTCTCCTTCCCAGCCCCCAGAACCTCCCCCAGCCCAAAAGGCAGCAAAAGCAGCTGGCGGGCGTCGGACAGGAGAGATCTCCAGTGTTGCCTTGCAGAATCACATCTACGGCTGG